TTCCGATGCTGCAGCCCTGGAAGGATCTTGGGAGCCACTGAAGCTTTCCTCTCCTTGGGTCTGACAGTCTTCCAATTAAACCCTCTCCATCAGTTCTTCTCCCCAAAAACCCCACCACAGTAATTCTGCGATAAAGGTGAAGCTGCTGCCAGAAGACTTTAAGGGGGCAAAAATCTTAAGAACCAGGTGAGGTTGTGTGACTTGGCCTGGAGAAGATGACAATGACAATGAATATGTTTACTAAATCTGCTCAGTTATCTGTCTGTCCAACTAGATGAAAAGAAAACTAGAAAAACCAAGCAAAGATCTTGAATGCGAGACAATTTCCCAACTTGGTTCCGTCTTACCTTTGGATAGTGATAGGTTTCCACTTTAGGATAAAGGCTGCCTGTGAACATGGGGATCTCCATCACGGGGACTCTGGAATCATTGATGGTCGCATACGCTAACCTTGTCCCATCTGGGGACCACCAGTGTGCAATGTGAGTCTTCAAGATTTCCTCTACACGTAAACAAGAGAGAGAGGGAAAGAAGACACAGAGATACAAAATATTAAGTTATATCAAGAATGCTGAGAGTGGAGAATTTGAACAAAAGGAAGTAAAGGAGACAAACCGAGGTCATCACAAGCAGGTGAAGATATAAATCCAGTCTTTTACAAAGTTACTTTTTATAAACTAGAATTCCCAGAATTGCCCAGCCAGCTGGATCCTGCCTTCGTAAAGTCTGAAAATTCAGGAGCAGAAGCTGACAGCTATTGTTATGAATACAGACATCCCACCATCTTGACTAAACTTGGGCTATGTAACACACAGTATGTCCTCACAGTGGAATAATGAGCGAGAGCAATAAGAATCTGCAACTCCTGGATACCCGAAAAGCCCCATTAAAAGCCACTTGACATACAAACTCCTCTTTGGGACATTGCGCCTGCAATTTCTGAATATAGTATACAGTATTGAGCACATTTATAATAACCAATGTGCCTAAAGAAGAAGGTGAACATAATTCCACACCTAATAAATCTACATTTACAGGATGTCTTCCAGGCGGGCATTGGTGGCAACAGCAGGGGAATATAAAACTGTAGTAGCAACACCATAAAGAAAATGAGCGGGTTTTGTTACAAAGCGTTGTTTTCATGGTTGAAATAATTCATGAAACCCTGTCCTCTTTGTAGAAGCTCACGAGGGTGGTGCCTGAAGTTCATGCATGGAAAATAAATATCAGTGATGATGTTCTTGTGACTGCATAAACCACGACCCATTTGCAAACAGCAGTCTAATTCATATGGAAACCAAAGTCTTCTTTTAGATGGTCTATAGGTTCTGAAATGGAAGGGCAAGAGAAAGCAAACTATTCCCAGTAGATGGTTTGTGTTGTTGTTGTTGTTGTTGTTGTTGTTGTTGTTGTTGTTGTTGTTGTTGTTGTTGTTGTTGTTGTAGGGTGGTGGTGGTGTGTGTCTGTGTATATGTGTTGCTGTTTTCATTATTAGCATAGGTCCAGCATTATAACATACAGACTATATCTGGCTCATAGACTATGTATAATAATAATATATATGTATTGTGTGTGTGTTCTGTGCTCTCAAGTTGGAACTGACTTACTGCAACACTAACAGGGATTTCAAGGTAAGTGAGATATTTAAAAAGTAGCTTTACCAGTTCCATTCTCTTCCAGTGAGTCTCAATGGCTAAGTGGGGATTTGAACCCTGTTCTCCGGTGTCCCAGTCCATCACTCTGTCCACTACAGCAGACTGGGAATCACAACATTACATAAGCCCATGTTATATGTAACAATATGTTACATATTACCAAACACATTACATATATGTTTCAGTGTTATACCTATATCTATACCTGCTCGTTTCATATGTGTACATGCACATTTGAAGCCGCACACTCACTTGTTTTAGCATAATAATTTTTATCATGTATTAGTACAAATTAACATGAGTTCTAAGACTGGATGCTCCTTTGTCTTTCAACTTAAACCCACAGGATAAAACCAAGCTACTTCATTTTCTTTTCAACTCATACAGTACGGTTAATGACGTTTTAGAAATAGTAACCTCCAACGAAAAAGCAAGAAACCATTATGATAATAATGAGCAACGTTATTAATTGAAGACATATTAAGGCATCTTAGTCACTGTTAAAATTACAGTATTAACAACAATTAAATGGATTAAAATTTTAAACTGTGCAATAAAAACTGGAGTTAAAAGCACATTTTGCAAGACAAAAGGCATAACATCTATGATTTAAAAAACTTCCTTGGCAATCTGTTACTTGCTAAAAGCCTCCTGAAAGAGAAGGCTTGTCTACTAGTAGAAAGGCAGAAGGAGAGCCGAATATGTAGCAAAATACATTTTGATCTTTCAAAAATCTATTTCTGGGGGGGATGATCAACATGTTAGACCAACTCCTCGGGACCCTCTTGCATGCCATCCAAGTTGATTCTGACTTATGGCTACCCTTTCCAAGGTTTTTCAGGTACAGAATACACAGGAGTAGTTTACCATCCTCTTCTTGGGTGGTGGTGGGGTGGGGTGGGCATCCTGAGATATAAATTGCCTCTCCTCCTTGAAGCCACAGCGGGGAATTGAACTGCCAAGCTCTGGCTTCACTGCCAGATACCAACTTCGCTGAGCTGTCCTTCTCAAGACTGAGGCCCATCAGTCAAAGAAATGGGAGTGGGGGAGGGTACAAGCAATATGGCGGCAAGCGGAGGAAGCGTTTGAGATGGTCAACTGGCATTTATTTATTATAAATTACTTTTCTGCCCACTGAAGCAATGCAAAAATAAAACCACAGCATAAAAACAGAAACGAAACCAAGAATTAAAAACAACAGGCTGAGAAACAATAACAGCTATAATTTCCTATGGACAACTAATCCATCTTTGGAAATTACTGATCTCCCCTCCTGCCCTCTGTAGAGGTTTCCTTCATGGAAGGAGTTCCATAATTAAGTTATTCTCCAGTTAAGTACAAAGAGATTGGTTAAGTAGAGACATTGCTCTGGAAGGCTTCATGACTCAGCCTCTGCTGTTTTGGGGATACATAAAGTGATCGCCCTATTTTATCATTACCGTATCTTTTAAAAGAAGGCTCATGCTACCTGTAAAATCAATCACTACAGTCAGCCAGAATACTGTAGGTTTGCTTGTTCTCTGCTTCGAGCAAAAAGAGAGAGCAAGAGAGATGCATAGTTTCTCCTGCAATGGCACCTTGCTCTCCCTTGTTTTGGGAAAAGGAGAGTCGGTTTTTCCCCCTGCTGTCTCTTTCAGCATCTGCTAAGCTTGTCTGAAGCCAGGAACAGGAAAGGCAGGAAGACAAGGTGTCCATTTCTGCTTCAAACCTGGCCTTAATCTATTACAACACTCTGCTTGTTTAAATTAGGGGATGTGTTGTCATCGCTAACAAACTGCTGTGTTATGATCCAATATGCATCGTTTTGATTCCTAGGAAGGCAAGCCATGAATCATCAGATCAAATCATTTCTCATAACAACCATAAAGATCCTTGGGTACCTTTTGGCAAATCCTCACATTTGCCTCTACGTCCTCCAACATTCGTTTCGTTCGTTTAGTCGTTTAGTCGTGTCCGACTCTTCGTGACCCCATGGACCAGAGCACGCCAGGCCCACACATTTGCCTCTACGTCCTCCAAAATTACTGGCCTATTTTACAGGGGTCTTGTCTTTTCAGTGAAATATACAGACCTGGCTTTTAATAACTAATTCAGGCAAGCTTGACTCTCTCCTGGATGCTGTGCCTATGTTCCTCTTAAATGTGTTTTAAATGCTTTTAAATGTTTAAAATTACCATTTTCAATGGCCATTCTCTTTCGGCTTTTTTTCCCCCTTTGTAATTTATTGTGGCTTTAACCCAACTTGTTTTAATCATGGGGGAGCTCTCCAGGTCCCTCCAGAGGGAGAAAAAGCATCATAAAAATAAAACAAACAACCAAACAAATAAAAGTTTACAGATAATGTAAAAGAAGCATGAAATGATCAGAAGAGAAACCACCACACTGGATCAAACCAAAGTCTTAGCCAACATTCCATTCACACAATGGTTAATTAGGTGCCTCTGGGAATCTCTCGTCAACAAGGCAGGACTGCATCTTCCATCATCCTCCCTGTTCCCCCATTGATATATACAGCAATGCGGTCTCTGCTACTAGAGGTGATATATAGCATCCAGCCCAGTATCCAGTGATAGCCTTAACCCTCACACATTTATCTCATTCCATTTTAAATCAGTCTAAGTTGGCAGCCGTGGCTACATCTTCTGGCATTGAATTCTACAGCTGAAATATGCACGGTGTGAAGAAGCACTTTCTTTCATTTGTCCTGAGTTTCCCATTATTCAGCTTCAGGGGATGACCCAGGGCAAGATAAGAGAGAGAGAGAGAGACAGGCCACTTCCCATCTTCTTTCCCCAAACCGTTCATGATCTTAGGCACCTTCAAAAATCTCATCTTACTTCTCCTGATCAGCCCTGAATCTAATAGGAGCAGTATCACTACTATTACGATTCTTATTACTAGTACTGTTACTACTAGAGTCCATACAGAAATCCTTTTAACAAGCACTCCATTACACAGAAGAAGTATTTGCAAAAAACGGGGGAAGAATCTGAATTTCGGTCTCTCCATATCCAAGGTCAAAGTGGCTCAAAGATCCACATACAGTTATTGTTGACCCTAACAGTCATAGTCTCTGAGGTCTCTATGAATTATGCCAGGCAATGGTATATCTAGAGCCTTATTCTTATATGCCACTGGTCTTCAGGCTTCAAATCTTCCTTCTTAATATTATTTGGCACGAGGCTTTGATCTCAGCCTTTCTGCAGTAAGATTATGAGATCAGACTCCCTGCTCCCCATCTGCCACTAAAAGGGATCAACAGTGCCCTCTTATAATAAGAGGAAAAACAAGCATGTTTTCCCTTCAGCCTACATCGTTCCCAACCCCACTGCAATTTTCTTCCAGCATGAACTGCCACTCAGATTTGATTTAGTGCATGATATATCTATTACAGATAATATTGCACCTCTGTAATGGCTAAATCATGTATTTCAGTGGTTCTGAATGACAGCTCTCAGGAAGAAGCAAAAGGTATTTATTAAGACCACATTTCCATGCGAAGGTTTAGCCGGGTCAGCCGTTTTCATAGACATTGCTACTGATACAGTGGACCCTTGACTTACAGACGGCTTGACTTACAGACTTTTTGAGTTACAGACTTCTCTGGCCGCAAAATTTAGGTTTGACTTAAAGGTTTAGCCAGGTCAGCTGTTTTCATAGACATTGCTACTGATATTTGAAGCAGCACATGTCCCGTGATGCTCCTATGCTTTTCAATTATTATTATTTCCTACAGAAATATGTGCATATAATTAAAAGGTATAATTAAGCAACTCATTGGCATCAAATATGTCACGTGGTTTTTCTTCCTGGCCTTCACTCCCTCTTTCTTTTACTGTTCTATTGT